TAACATTGCATGACATTTCTAGAACACTGCGACTGAAATAATGAACATTAGCACACTTTTAACACTGTATGATATTTCTTGAAAACTAACACCCGAACACACTTATCACCGGTAACGTATCTTGACTTCGCAGATCATGAGAAATATTTTCCAGGAATCCTTTAATGCGTACAAGTTAAAAAGTGAACATCGAATGACCGACAACGCTGCTCGTAGTCTCAAATGCAGTTATCGCTTATTTGACGTGAAGCTCTCCTATCGGCGCCAAAATGTAATGTATATAGAAGAAGACAACCTGGTTGTCACAATGGAGGGAGACGCTGCACGCTGTCTTAATTTGAATTCAGGTACATTTCATGCAACTGATTTATCTTTGCGTATTTGTGATTCATGATTTAATATACCTAATTAGAATCATATTTCACTTCAATATAAAATGTCTGGTATTTAACTAGAGGGGCGTTCTACTAAGACGTGTACCGATCATGTTACAGTACTTATACGGTGCACGGCAATGGGGCCATAATATGGGGTAGCTGAGCTTTCCATAAGGATTGACGTCATATCGAAACGATTCTCACTTCACCCATAGTCTAAAGTAATATGACTGGATACAACGGGGACTTTTAATTCATTTCAAGTCGTGTCAATTCGAGCATGTATTTAACTGTCATAGGTTGATAGACATCGCTTCGTTTTGGATTTGTGTTAAAACAGAAGTTGATCAAATTGTGCAATCTGTGGTTGTACGCACACAAGGAGAATTTGAAGTAGAATTTATTTTGAACGTCGAAGGGACCAGCTGAACACGTGTATTAAGTTGATCTTTGCGTATGTGTACAGGTACTCGTAATGAATACAAAACCAATCTTGGTGATATGAATCATTCAATCCAAAGAAATTCCATCATTTTTATTAATTACAAATTTATTATATTATATTTGTATTTTTTGAGATCGCTTGCGTAAGCGTTTGTTAATTTCGTTAAAATCACACTAAGACATGTGACATGTTGCCACGGCAATAAATCCTACCACTGTGAAAGTCAACAATATTTTGCCCAGTTGTGAAGATAGGAGTATACACGACAGCTTATAGCAGTGTATTTGAAAGACTATAGTCAGTTTTATTGAGTGCCTTACTTATCATTGCCTAAATCCCACCGTTTACATTGAGCACACTCTTATACGGATCTTAATTGCTTTAGCTTAAATTACGCGTCGTTTGGCTTATGGCGCAGTGATATTTATGTATAATTGTCATTTCAGGGCTTGGCACAAACTTGGGTCTCCGTGGAATAGAATTTCTTCCGCGATTCATCGTCGATATTGCCAATAGCGACCATCCGTTGAGTATGATGGACACCCTGATGAACAGGAATAAGCAGGCCATCAAATTATCAGAAGATTTTATCAAAAGCGGTATTCCTAATATCATGTACAGTTGAGTGCCGAGGTCGTCGAACCATTTCAACTTCACAGCGATGCTGGAAGTGTCTTCGTCGCCATGGCAACGTAAATTAGAAGATTAGAAAACGCAATCTGATCTGAACTTTGAACTCCTTGCGTTTAACTGAAGGATGTCGTTTACGTGGTATTTTCATTTCCATTTCCTAATATTGTACAGTACTAGTATTTCGTTATTGTCGCCAGTACTAAATGGAGGTATATTTTTTATCAAATACTTTCTATACACATGAAGATATATTATTGCACCTTTCACTGTGATTAAAATAAATTTCACCGATAATTTTATCACCCAGAAACGTACATGTTATAAACACTGAGAGTTGGAGCTGGCTGAACACTTAACAAAAAATGAACAGCGGCTCTCATTGCATTTATATGCGAGGTAGGTTAGTCGAGGACACGCACTTATAAGTGGAGTCATTTGTGCAGGTCAGTGCGGAGATGCATTTCTGTTAAATGTATTAGTTTTGGGCTTGGATTCTCGTTTCGAGTATATTACTTCGTATGGATTCATTATTTTGGTCGCGCATGGAAATGCATGCCTTTCATAAAAGTAAAATGATGCCAAAGGTGAATGCACTTTAAAGTTGAATTATCCACTAAATTATTCAAAAGTATTTAGCATATGCAGTAAAATGAACTATGAATTGGAAATAACAGTTAAGGCTGCCGCCAGTTATACGTGGCAGAAAATGTATCTCGTAACGCAACGCGTTTCAAATCCTGCGTCGGGACATGCTCTGACAACCCAGTACAGGGACACGTAGGAAATCTGTGTCCGTCACAATCAATTCTACGGGAAATGCTTTACAACGCGTTTTGATTTGAATTTGATTTGATCCCAATCGAATCGCTAGCCGACGGTTACTAAAACTATGGTTAGTCGGAAAATTCCAAGGGTGATTCATTATGCTAAATACTAAAATTAAGCGAATCTACGGAAATGCTCGGCAATGTTCGGCTGTTTGCAAACAATTTTTGACTCTGAAATCCTACGAATGCCGTGGTTGTTGTATTCGGTACATTGTATACGGTACATACTATCCTATAAATGAAAAGTTGGCACTTGCGCAGCTCGATCGAATTTCACTTAAAAAATA